CTTTTGCAGCAGATTTGCCCAAGGCAATGCATCTTTTGATTTACTGACTGCTGCTTCTATGAATATTGATTGTGGATCCAAGTAAAATGAAATCCTTGACAACTTCCATCTTCTCTCCGTTCATCATAATGTTGCTTATTGGTCCAATTATAAGCATTTTTGTTTTCATTATGTTGAGCTGTAATCCATACTGAAGGCTGTGGTCTTTGATCTTCATCAGTAAGTACTACAAGTCCTCTTCACCTTCAGCAAGAAAGGTTGTGTCATCTGCACATTGCAGGTTGTTAATGAGTCTTCCTCCAATCCTGATGCCCCGATCTTCATATAGTCCAGCTTCTCGGATTATTTACTCAGCATACGGATTGAACAGGTATGGTGAAAGGATACAACCCTGAAGCACACCTTTCCTGACTTTAAACCACGCAGTATCCCCTTGTTCTGTCCGAACCACTGCCTCGTGTCTATGTACAGGTTCCTCACAAGCACAACTAAGTGTTCTGGAACTCCCATTCTTCCCAATGGTACCCATAATTTGTTATGATTCACACAGTCGAATGCCTTTACATAGTCAACAAAACACAGGTAAACATCTTCGTTATCCTCTGCATTCAGCCAGGATCCAGCTGACATCAGCAGTTATAGCCCTCATTCCATGTCCTCTTCTGCATCCGGCTTGAATTTCTGGCAGTTCCCTGTTGATGTGCTGCTGCAACTGATTTTGAATAATCTTCAACAAAATTTTACTTGCGTGTGATATTAATGATACTGTTCGATAATTTCTGCATTTGGTTGGATCACCTTTCTTTGCAATAGGCATAAATATTAACCTCTTTCAGTTGGTTGGCCAGGTAGCTGTCTTCCAAATTTCTTAGCATAGATTAGTGAGCACTTCCAGTGCTGCATCAGTTTGTTGAAACATCTCAATTGGTATTCCATCAATTCCGGGAACCTTGTTTTTCGCCAGTGCCTTCAGTGCAGCTTGGACCTCTTCCTTCAGTACTATAGGTTCCTGATCATATGCTACCTCTTGAAATCGTTGAACGTTGACCAATTCTTTTTGGTACAGAGACTCTGTGTGTTCCTTTCATCTTCTTTTGATGCTTCCTGTGTCATTTAATATTTTCCCCACAGAATCCTTCAGTATTGCAACTCGAGGCTTGAATCTTTTCTTCAGTTCTTTCAGCTTGAGAAATGCCAAGCATGTTCTTCCTTTTTGGTTTTCCAACTCCAGGTCTTTGCACATGTCATTATAATACTTTACTTTGTCTTCTCGAGCTGCCCTTTGAAATCTTCAATTCAGCTCTTTTGCTTCATCAATTCTTCCATTTGCTTTAGATGTTCAAGAGCAAGTTTCACAGTCTCTTCTGAAATCCATTTTGGTCTTTTCTTTCTTTCTTGTCTTTTTAATGACCTCTTGTTTTCTTCATGTATGATGTCCTTGATGTCATTCCACAACTCATCGGGTCATTAGTGTTCAATGTGTCAAATCTATTCTTGAGATGGTGTCTAAATTCAGGTGGGATATACTCAAGGTTGTACTTTGGCTCTCTGGACTTGTTTAATTTTCTTCAGCTTCAACTTGAACCTACATGTGAGCAATTGATGGTCTGTTCCACAGTTGGCCCCTGGCCTTGTTCTGACTGATGATATTGAGCTTTTCCATTGTCTTTCTCCACAGATGTACTCGATTTTATTCCTGTATATTCCATCTGGTGAGGTCCATGTGTATAGCTGCTGTTTATGTTGTTGAAAAAAGGTATTTGCAATGAAGAAGTTGTTGGTCTTGCAAAATTCTATCATGCAATCTCTGGCATCATGTCTATCACCAAGGCCATATTTTCCAACTATTGATCTTTCTTCTTTGTTTCCAATTTTCAAATTCCAATCACCAGTAATTATCAATGTATCCTGATTGCATGTTTGATCAATTTCCGACTGCATAAGTTGGTAAAAATCATCAATTTCTTCATCTTTAGTCTTAGTGGTTGGTGTGTAAATTTGAATAATAGTTGTATTAACTGGTCCTCCTTGTCTGCGTATGGATATTATCCTATGACCGACAGCATTGTACTTCAGGACAGATCTTGAAATGTTCTTTCTGAGGATGAATGCAACTCCATTCCTCTTCAAGTTGTCATTCCCGGCATAGTAGACCATATGATTGTCGAATTCAGTGGACAGTTGAATACCAGTACCAGTCCATTTCAGCTCACTAATGCCTAGGATATCAATGTTTATGTGTTCCATTTTTGACAATTTCCAATTTTCCTAGATTCATACCTTGTACATCCATGTTCCAATTATTAATGGATGTTTACAGTTGTTTCTTCTGATTTTGAGTTGTGCCACATCAGCAAATGATGGTCCCCAAAGCTTGACTCCATCCACGTCATTAAGGTTGACTTTACTCTGAGGAGGCAGCTCCTTCCCAGTCATCTTTTGAGTGCCTTCCAACCTGAGGGGCTCGTCTTCCAGCACTATATCAGACAATGTTCTGCTGCTGTTCATAAGGTTTTCACTGGCTAATTGTTTTCAGAAGTAGACCACCAGGTCCTTCTTCCTAGACTGTCTTAGTCTGGAAGCTCAGCTGAAACCTGCCTTTGGTGACCCTGCTAGTATTTGAATACTGGTGACCTAGCTTCCAGCATCACAGCAACAGGCAAGACCCCACAGTATGACAAATAGACACACACATGTGTAGGTATATATATATACACACACACACACACACACACACACATATAAATTTCTGAAAAGTGAAAAGTATTTTATCCACAAGAGAAAGTTTGGAATTTCAGTCTCTCATGCTATAATTTTACAGCACGAGACAGTGGTTATGAGCTCGGGTTCTGGAGTCAGATTGCCTGGGCTAAAACCATTTATTAACTGTGTGACCTTGGGCAAGTTACTGAATATTTTTGTGTGGCAGTAACCTCATCTCTATAAGATGAGAGCAAAAACCACACCTGCCCCATGGGGTATTTGTGGGGACCAAGTGAGTTAAGACATGATACCATATACTGTACAAAATAAATATGAGCTTCTATTATCAGAAATACTAGTATGTACAAGGCCCCATGCTAGGTGTTCTGAGAAAGAAAAGTAGAAACAGACACAGTCCCTGTGCCTACGCAGTTTACTATCAAATTGGAAACCCAAGTTACAGTCCCATATAAAATTAAATATTAATACCTGAGCAGAAAACAAACAGTTCAGTTAGCAGCACAGACCAGCCTCTTAAATATAGAAGCCATAGGGGCTGAGTGACCTGGGCCTGAGCAGTACATCCTTTTACACAAGGTGCTATTCTCACATTTGTTTCCCTTCACCTATTGCTTATCTCTTTGTCATAATTTTCTCATGGCAGATTGTATATTAAACACCACTAGCAGTGGCACAGCCTACGTTAATTGTACAGTGGCTTAGCCATGGGTGAGCGTTAAGTGACGCAGATGCTGATGGGGGATTAAGGCTTTTGACAACAGAGCTGATAGGAGCTCTGACTAGTGGCCTTCACTTTGGTCCTATTTATTGATAGCCCAGTTCTGTAAACTAGGTCTGAAGCAGTTCAAGGACTCATCAATGCACCCAGGCTGAGTAGGTGCTCTGCTCTTGCCTGTTTATTAGCAGGCAAGACTGGCCCTCATTATAGCTAGTGCAGTCATTTACAGCTAAGCAGGAAGAAATCGTCACTTGTGAATCTAAAACAAAGGCTATTGGGCAAATGAGGTTCCTGAGCAGTACAAACTATTAATGTGCTCAGCTGCTAACCAGAGTCCACCTACTGGTGCCTTGGAAGAAAGACCTGGCGATCTACTTCTGAAAGATCAACCATTGAAAACCCTATGGAGTGCATTTGGACTTGACGGCAACTGTTATTTTTAAATGCGGTCAGAGAGATTTGGGTTTGGATGGTGCTTCCATCCCTTACTGTGAAATCCTGGGAATGTTTCTTGGCACCTCTAAGCCTCAGTTTCCTTATCTGGAAAATGGCAATGATAACAATACCTCCCTCATAAATTGAGATAATGCATATAAAGCACTTAGTAAAGTGACTGGTAAATGGGATACTTACAAAATAATAGCTGCTATCATTCTTTATGTTTATTACTAACATCCCACGATGTATCCAATTGCTTCCTGCGCTGGCATTATGGCACCCATGTTTAGGCTCTCTGGAGTTAACGTATCAGGGCAAATCCCTCAGCAAAGGCTTTCCAGGATGAGACACGGAGTCCAACGCAGTTACATCATGACAGATGTCACAAAAGATGTTTAGAAGAAAATAGATGATGGAGGGATGGATGTCATGGCTCTCTTCAGGTTGTTTAGAGGTATTCTATGACCCTGAGGGCACAACTGAGATCAGCGGGTGGAAATTAAAGGAAGCACACCCCAGATCAACAGGAGAGAAATCCGTCTGTGAAAGCCAGTTACGGAGAGATGGGGGTAGGGGCTTTCAATGAGGGTGGGCTCAGGCGCAGCTGCGGAGGCGGCGGAGCCAATCACCGGGCGCAGCCAGTCCTCGCGCGAAGGTACAGTCGTACAGTCGTGACGTCGACGGTTACCATGGAGAGCCTCGCTCAGTAGGGTGCGAGAGCAGGCGCGAGGGGCCGCAGGATCAGAGCGTGGCTTTGAAGACGCTTCCGCAACCAACATGAGCGGCCGAAGTAGGAGTAGAAAGTCCTCTCGCGCCAAAAGCCGGGGCAAAGCCCGTGCGAAAGCCCGCGTCCGCGCTGCTCCTGACAACGCTCCGCGCGACCTGGACCCTCCACAGTGCCCGAAGCTCCGGGAGGAAGCCAAGGCGGCACAGGTGCAGGCTGGCGCGGGTAGGGGTAGCCTGGAAACCGCTGCGCCCGCTGCGCCCCGCCGCCCCGGGGCGGAGGGGGCCTGTCGGCTCCCCCTGGACTGTGGTCTCGCGCTCCGGGCCCGAGCTGCGGGGGGTCGCGGGCAGGCCGCCCCCAGGGCCGGCCCGGGGAGGGCCCCGTCTCTCTTGGAGCGCCTGGAAAGAGACACTGTCTTCGTGGGAACTGTGGGAACTGTGGCAAGGCCGAAAAATGGCCCTCGGGTTGGAAATCGGCGTGGCCCTTCTAGGAAGAAGGCCCCAGAAACCTGTAGCGCAGTGGGAAGGGGTCCCCAGGCGATAGCTGGTGGGAAGGTGAAGAAAGGGACCACTGTGGAGTGTGCCTCTGTCTCAGTGATGGAGGAAAAGAAGGTGGAGAATGATGTAGCGTCAGGGCCCCAGGCCGCAGATGGCAGCATGGACACCCTGGAGACCGTCCAACTGAAGCTGGAGACCATGAATGCCCAGGCGGACAGAGCCTACCTTCGCCTGTCGCGCAAGTTTGGGCAATTGCGACTGCACCACTTAGAGCGCAGGAACCGCCTCATCCAGAATATCCCGGGCTTTTGGGGACAAGCCTTTCAGAACCACCCCCAGCTATCATCCTTTCTGAGCAACCAAGATAAAGAGGTACTCGGCTACTTGAACAGCTTGGAGGTTGAAGAGCTTGGCCTCGCCAGATTGGGCTACAAGATCAAGTTCTACTTTGGGCGCAACGCCTATTTCCAAAATAAGGTGCTCATCAAGGAATATGGGTGTGGCCCTTTGGGTCAGGTAGTGTCTCGTTCTACTCCAATCCAATGGCTCCCAGGCCATGATCTCCAGTCCCTAAGCCAGGGGAACTCAGACAACAGCTGTAGCTTCTTTGCGTGGTTTTCAAACCACAGCTCTATTGAGTCTGACAAAATTGTTGAGATAATCAACGAGGACCTGTGGCCCAATCCTCTGCAGTACTATCTTATGAGTGAAGGGGCTCTTGGAGAGAAAGGAAAGGAGGTCAGGCGAAGTCCAGCAAGGCAGCCGGTGGAATCCCCTGAGGTAAACCAGTCCAGAGGAGGTCAGGCAAAGTCCATCAAGGCAGCCAGTGGAATCCCCTGAGGTAAATCAGTCCAACTGATCCTGCACAAGTCTCATACCTCTTGCTGGACCTGGCTGACATCATGTGCTTGGCCATCTGCCTTCTCTTCATGTTGGCCTCTGTGCACCATAGCCCCTTTGGACTTTCACTGCCCTACAAGAATATGGCCTTTATGATCATGTTCGTTTGCCTCCCTGTGACCTTCATGCTGTTTTACATTAGTATCACATGTTACGTGATCTCGAATACTGTTTGTATGCTAAGCACATGGTGCTTCGTATGTGTGCTGCCTTTTATCTACATCACCTGGACCCTGTTCTTGGCTCTGACCTTGCCCACTTGTCTTTAACATGGACACTGGTGAGTCAGCCTCCAGTTGGACCAGTACATTCTCAAGCTCGGTTACATCAAGGCTAGTGACTTGCTGGCATTGGTGTTCGTGCTGGCCATGCATGCCGTCTTTGGCAAGCTTCTTTATCTGTTACTGCTGCACAGTAAATCCTGTGCACGTGGTATTGACCATCAGCAAGAACTGAGAGTTCCATGGCCCTGGGGCACCAGTCATGCTGCTACCTACTGAATCTCTGGCTTTGTCCAGGAGTCCATGCTACCCATCCTGCTGGACACAGCAGAATGGGCCCTTGGCTGCTGGGCATGGATGAGGTTAAGGGTGAGGAGCAGTATGCCTTGTGTTCGACATCATGCCTCTTCCTAATCCTCAGGGCCCTTCTACTGGTGAACCTTTGTTGAGACCTTTGCCACATCCCGTCACTGTTAGGCCATTGAGTTTTGTTTAGGTTGCTGTCATCCCCAGTTGGCTTCCTGGTCAAGAAGGACTTCAAGAACTGCCTGTGGACCCAGACCCCCTGCCAGTGCATGAGACACACACCTACTCACCCCAGCCTTCCAGAAATCCTACTGGCTGCCAGACAGGTGGGATGGTATGTGTGGACATGTCCTCACTGTCATCATGCTGTGGATACAGGTGAGGGTGGAGACTGGGTCCACATGGAATCTAGATATCTATCAACACCCCTTCCCCCTCCCCAGACATAATCAGAGTACCATGGTGGGGTACTATGGAAGTGGTATTTCTGATCTGTGGGTTTTTCTTTGTCTTCATTCTGTAGCTCTATACCTCCTTGCCCTCCTTCTCCCCTTCCTTCACACACAGCTAGCAAGACAGCTTAGGACTCACCACGCATGCATACTCTGCACACAGACTTTGGGCTAAAAGAAGATGGAGAAAGCCAGGCCAAGTGGCCTGTGGTCAGACCCTGGTCCCAACTCCTGGACTTACTCCCCGATTCTGAAGTTGGAAATTCTTTTCATACCTCTGCATCTGTTAGAATTATGAACCTCGAGGCAGCAGTGTTGTGAGGTCATGTTTACTCTTGTTCAGACATTTTCTTGTGTGTGTGCCCTTTAAGTCCAGATGCCTCCCACTGCTTCCTTCTTTGTGGTAGCCTCTGGTCATCTGAGCCCTCATCCCCCAGCTTTTCCAGTCTCAGTAGTCCTTTGCCCTCTTTGCATGAATACCCACAAGGAGCAGACTTTAGCCTCCAGTATGGGCATCGCACTGCTCTCTTCTGGTGCCTGGGGAGAAGGGTGGGCAGAATCCGTTCTGGTTTTTCAGGCTTATTCCTAGTGGGTGTGAAAGCTGAGCTGGGCCCTCCCTGCCCAGGCTTGACTGTCCTCTTTCCCTCTCATTCCTGAGGGTGGGGAGGTAGGCCTGTAGCTACACCTGTCTGCCTCCTAACTTACCTTTCCTTATGGAAGACCTCACTCTAAGTTCCTCGGGCTGGTAGGCATCGACTCAAAGTTGTAAAGAGGGTGTGCTAGGCAGGGGAATGGGAGAAAAAACGTAGAAGCAGGAGTAAGCCTGGGAGGGGCTGGGAAAGGACAGAAATGGCTTGAGAGGCTTCTGGGAGTGCAGGGCTATCTCTCAGTGATTGAGGGAATGGGGAGGGGCCTTCCCAGGGTTGGCATGAGAAAATTAAAAGGTGCCTAAAATTGGTGGTGCAGTGGTTAGATGCTTGGCTGCTCACCAAAAGGTTGGCAGTTCAAACCCACCAGCCATTCAGCAGGAAAAAGATGGTGTGGCAGTCTGGTTCCATAAGGATTTATAGCCTTCGAAACCCTGTAGGGCAGTTCTACTCTGTCCTGTAGGGTTGCTGTGAGTTGGAATCAGCTCAACGGCAATGAGTTAAAATAGGATGCCTAGATGAGGTTGTGCCCAAAGTTTTGCCCAGTCTTTCTCATCAGTAGTGGATTTGGTAAATCACAGAAACCAGAAGCAGAATAATGTTGTTTTGAATGCTTTCTCTCCTGTTATAGGTGTTGCCTTGTGTATGTGGAAGATGAGTGCTATATGCTGCTTATTTCATCTCCAAGTAAAAATCCTACCACTCCCCCCGTTTTTGCCTAATGGGAAAATAGAGCTGTACATGTCTGCTTTTTTAAAAATTTAATTTAACTTGTGGCTCTTTATTATGGATGTTTTCAGACATGCACAGAAGTGTGCCCATCACTTAGCTACATCAATTATCAATTATGATCAAACTTGTTTCATCTCTGTCCCCCTCTCCTTGCTGGATTGGTTATCAAAAGTCCAAGACACTGTGCCAGTTCTACCATGACTGCTCTGGGAGACTGGGACTCTATTTTTGGTGGTGATTGTGATGGGGTGCGTTATTGTTACCGCATCAGGTCTGATTTTTGCTTTTAATGTTATGGAATGAAGTTCCAGATATGGCCCTTAAAAGCACAAGACTTCAGAATTAACAAAGAGTCTCAAAAAGAGACAAAGAAGATGCTGCCTACCCCCTGTGTCCACAGAAGGAGAGAAAGATAGACTGTTCTGTTCTGAAATTCTTCAAAGACTGATATAAGGTGCTGAACTGTGATCCTTCTCTAGAATATCCATCTTTTTTTCCTGTGTAATATGGAGACTTCTGTGTCTGCTAGGACTGTTACCAACTTGTCCTAGTCTCTCTTAGTACAACTCCTGTTGTTAGAAGTATAATTTGGAAATTGTTCCTGTGTTCTGTGAAAATAACCTCCCATAAGTAATCAGTAACTGGTTGTCTTACTTGAGATTTTGACACCCTGGTAATAGTGTAATTCTTTCTGTATTCTTAAACAGTGTAAATGCTTGTAAGCTTACATGCATGATAGAAAAATAAAAGCCTTTGTTTTATTTCTTATTTTCAAAAAAGAATGGGAAGGTGGTTTAAGCAGAGGCTGGGTAGTTGAGGGGATATATGCATTGGCCTAGATAAGTGATTCCCAAGCTTGAGATCCGGGTGTGACTGGCTATATAAAGATCATCTTAGAAGCTTATTAAGGGCCTCATTCCCAGGCTCTTCCCAGAGATTGAGATTTTGTAGTTCTGGGAGGAGTCCCAATAGTCTTCTATTTAACAGGCTTTCCAGGTTATTCCAGTGGGGACTTGTTGCTTCTCAAATTTTAAAGTTCATCTAAATCATGAGGGGGATCCTGTTATAATATGAATTCTGATTCAGTAGTCTGGGGGTGAAACCTCAGATTCTGCATTTCTAACAGACTTTGGGTGATGCACGTGTGGTGGTTTGTGAACCACACTTTGAATAGCAAGAGAGATAACCTTCAAGGCCCTGTTGAACTAATGCTGTCATTTCTTCTACATATTTTACTATAAAGAAGACCTTTCCTTCCCTGTGTGCAGATCAACTACAGTTCCTCTTAAAGAAGCAGTGTAAATGCTTAATTCTTTCCCTTTAATCACCAGTTTTCAGAATCAGAAGTTGGCAAATAGTCATCTCCAATGGTGACATATAATGGCATTGTTTTCTTTCTCTTTGAACTTGATTTTCATTTATCTAATGTTTCCCAGGCGATTACAGCCATCCTTCTATTGGCTGCCCAACTAATCCACATTTTAGCCCTAACTTTTACCAGACGTCTTTTGTCCTTGTCACTAACTTTCCCCCACTACCCCTGTGTGCTGTCCTCCAGCCGGTATGAACCACATCTTGTTCTCTGGACACCCGTGCTGCAGCTGCACGCCCTGCCTGTTTACGCAAGCCGTTCCCTTGGTGAGAAAGCCCTTGTAGCCCCTCTCAGATACTCAAATATAGCTCAGATATTCAAGGCTGAACTAGTCTTTTCATTTCCACAATATTTTCTCCACACTTCAATGTACAGTACCTAACATGCTGGCTTGTACTTACCTGTTTACCTGGCTGCTCCCAACAGAGACCGTGAGATCCTTGAGGTCACAGAATAACAATAGCAAGCACCATGTCTTAAGGAGCCTTGGTGGTACAATGGTTAAAGTGCTTGGCTGCTAACCAAAAAGTCGATGGTTCAAACCCACCAGTTCCTCCATGGAAGAAAGGACCTGGTGATCTGCTCCTGTAAAGATTATAGCCTAGGAAACCCATGGGGGCAGTTCCACTCTGTCCTATAGGGTCACTATGAGTCAGAATCGATTTGATGGCACACAACATGTCAATGTATTCTGTAGCTTAGTGGTTTACACATAGCAGGTGCTCATTAAGCACCAAAGAAGTGAGCAGATGGTCCCTAAAAATTCAGGAAAGCCTAGGTGACGAACTACAGAGAGTTTAGAAGCTCCCAGAAGCAGAGTTTGGGAATAATTTCAAGTGAAGGAGAAGCATGAACCTAACACAAATGGATTAAAGGGGGGAAGCTATTACCTGCACAAAGCCTCAAGCAAAAAATTTGGCACCAAATTACTTTCGCAGCATATTGGAAATCAAGTAGGGAAATGGAAGTGAGCAGGAAAGTAAATGAAGAATGTTGGAAATGTACCATGTATGCTGTGCTTTAGTAATGTTCCACAGCCCACAAGATCTTTGGGTCTGTAACTGAAAACAAGGAAAAGCAAAGCTGCTGTGATTCGGGACAGTGACATTCCTGGGGATCTTTCTCTTTATATATTGATACACATACATAATCTGAAATCTCTTAAGAGGTACCTTGAATTTAAATGACTCAAAAAAATGAGGTTAAAACAAAGGTAATCTCTAAAAGCAATATCACTGAAAAGCAAGCCAGACAGGAGATTAAACCTGCAGAATGGGAAAGAGTGAGCAGATCTAGGGGAAAATTACCCTGAGCTTCAATACTAACTAATCTCAATTCCAGGATTATAAGGAAAATATGATCATCAAAGCCCAGTGCTGCTTTGTCAAGTCCTGTGGCACCAGATACTTCATAAGAAAATTCAGAACACTGAGCGGTGAAGAAAGGGACAAGTCAAGGTGTTTGTAACCCAATAATGTTCTGGAGGAGGTTATGATTGTGAGGCAGATGGTCCCTCAGAAGCAAGGTTGTAGGACCTCAGGATGCCATACAGGAGACTCTCTGTCTTCCGCCCTGAAAACTCACCTTGCTATCAGTGCAACCTCTGGCTTGGGGAGCGCTTATTCATCCAACCAGCATTTATGTGATGAGAGACATAGATTTCCTACATGCTTACATGTCATTCAGCATTCTTTGTCTTACCTTGACTCTCCAGTAAAATTATACCCCACCCCCGCTCTTTATTCCTTCTCACATCTCCCTCTTCTTTTTCTTCATAGGCTTTATCACAATTCATGACTATGATGTTATCTCTGTGTTTTTTTACTCCCCTGTGACTGTAAGCTCTCAAGGATCATTGTTCATTGCTGGATCCCAGTGCCCACACATAGGAGGTAAAAAATAAAAAAAAACCCAAACCCATTGCTGTTGAGTTGATTCCAACTCATAGCGACCCTACAGGACAGAGTAGAACTACCCCATAGGTTTTCCAGTGAACAGCTAGTGGATTCGAACTGCCAACCTTTTGATTAGCAGCTAAGCTCTTAACCATGAGGTATTTGACAAATATTTTGGACTAGTGGAAATGTTAGTCTTATGAACCAGGCTCAAGTTAAGATGGCAGGCTGGATGGACTAGGCCTTGGAGTTGTTACTCCATGGCAGGAAGAGGTGACTTTTCATAATTATGCAGCACGTGGAGAGTGCACACCACATGTCAAGCACAGTGGTAAGCACATTTATGCACATTATCACCACAATTCTATTATCCTTGTCTTCCAGATGAGGTAAAAGAGCCCAAGAGAGTTTAGCCCAAGGTTGTATAGATTGTAATTTCTGGAGCTAGGGGTGAAGCCAAGTTTTTAACCACAATTCTACACTGCCTCTTAGGCTCGGGTTTGCAGTGTGTGTTGATGTGGCTGGGCTAACATTGTACCCATGCCTTCAGAAAGGGGGGAGGAGGGTTGTATGTCTGCAGGTAGGCTCCCAGTTCTTCAGAGGGTGGCCATCCCTGTGCCTACTCACCAGGTAGAGGAAGTGTGTGTCCATATGTGGGTGTGCTTGCAGGGAGGTTATAGGAGTGGCCAGCAAGTCAGCTTTGGAATGTGGAGCATGGACCATGGGGTTAGGTGGCCAGCTGCTGGCCCCTAGGCCCACAGCACCATAGGCCCCCAAGATATAATGGACACTTACTCAGGATCACTGCCCACTGAGGCAATGGAGTCCTAAAAAGAGGTTCCCCGTTATGGGCAGCTTGTGGGGAACAGCTAGCAGGCAGACCCTCCTGGCAGGAAGCAGCCAGGGGAAGGAGGCTTCTGAAGAGAGGCATTGAGCAGATGGTGTAAGAGGGAGGCTGAGTCATAGAGAGCACCACGCTCAACAAAAGGCAGTAACAGCTAATAAATGAGGGCATTTGTTTGTGTACAGGCAGCATAGAAAGGCTTCCTGATCATAAGCTGTTCTTTGAGCTGCAGCCTCCCACACAGACAGCCGGCCCTGCCATTGCTCTTGTTTCTGAAGAACGATGATGAAAAATCCTTATTTCTTAACATTGCCACCAGGGTGCGTGTACCTCTTCACAAAAAATTCACTAAACCTTCTACTCCACACAGGGATTGGTGGGGGGGAGGAGGTAAAGCAGTGAACATTTATTGAGCATCTTCTGCATGCCAGAGTAGGTAACTTATTTACAGTCATTATTTCTGACAACAAGTTTATGAGGTTGTCATTGTTACCTATTTTACAGTTGAAGACACTGAAGTTCTGAAAGTTAAGAAACTTGCTTATGGTTACTCAGCCAAAATTTTGTCTAATTGGAGTCTTTTTGACTCCAAAAAATCCATACTGCCCCTCCTGGAAAAAGAAAAGAAATAATTACCTCTAATTTTAATGAGAGTGGTATCAGTTAGTATGTTTTCAGCTGCAAGTAACAGAAACCCTGACTGATAACATCCAAGAATAAAGGCCATTACTATTTCCATAACAAGAAATCTGGAGGACTTCCAGCCAGTGTGGCACTGTAGACAGAAGCACCACACCGTCCCTCCACAGCAAAGTCCCGAAAAACTAATGCAAACAGAGACAAACATCAATCCTGAAACCTTAAACATCAAATGAAGAGATAAAGAACTCAGCCAGGCACCAAATGGAATAAGAAACTGACAGAGGACAGAGAGCAAGGAGAGATACATGCAGAGGTCTCCTATCAGCTAATGCAGCATGGATTCACCATCTTGGACTTCTGTTGGAGATAAGTGAACAGGAAGAACAGGAAAGCAGCTTCTCAGAGCTCCCAGCAGGAGACAGAACAACCAGTAACCAGCGATATACACTTTGCCACTTCCCACCCTTCTTCACCCCCACTTGGACTCCTCTACTTCCTGTGGCCACATTCTCTTGGCCAAGAGGCACTGGCTTCAGCCTTGTGTCGCTGGGATTCCACTCACCCCACACTGGCCAGCTCCCTGAGTGTCATTTGTTGGTTGCTGGTGTTGCTTTTTTCTGCTTCTTTTGGTTTCTTTCATACCTCTCACCACCTTCCCCTCCTTTCTCTCAAATACCTGACTCCATGTGCCATCTTTGCTTTTTCCTGAAAGGCTGTGAAACGCCACTTGACTGTGGAACTGCTTCCCAGCCTGTGCCACCACGTTGGTAGGATCCCTCGGGATTTTTTTGTTTGTTTGTTTTCTTTTTCTTTTCTGGCTTGAGAGCTCCTGCTAGCTGGGCTGTACTGTGTGGCTTGGGAGGTACTTCCTCATTCCGTGCAGCCACACAGTGGAATCACTGAGGGCATTACTTTTCTTTTTTTTGTTTGTATGTTTTCTTTTCTCTCTTTTTCCCTTTTTGTCTTTCTTCATTTCTCAGTTTCTCATCTCTCTATACTTACCTTCTCTTCCTGTCTCCTGAATACCTGGCGCTGTGTGACATCTAGCCAGGCTGTACTTTGCAGCCTGGGAGCCACTTCCCCAGTCTTCACAGTCATACTGGTGGAACCCCTGTGGGCTTTGTTTTTCTTTTCTTTTTTCCTCTAATTTTAATTTATTTTTCTTTTACGCTTTTTCTTTTTTTTTCCTTTTTGTTTTTCTCCATTTCCCGGTCTCTCATTTCTCCACTCCAATGGCAAGCTCCCTTAGCACTCTTTTTTGTTTGTTTTTGACTCCTATTCCTCCTCTCTCTCCTCTTTCCTGTACCCATCTTAGCGCCACACATCACAATATCCCCCCTCCTTCCTGCCTACCTGCACTGTGCACTGAACATCACACCCCTGAGCAGAACAGGAGTGGCCTCCTGGAACCTGCCCTCCACTGATTCGCGGCCTCCCCTGTTGGCTTTGGTACATGCCATGAAACCCATCCCAACAACTCTTCTTCAGCTCACCTGCCCTGCTGCACCATAGCTAAGCAACTGACCCTGCCCATTGGACAAGGAGGCGAAAAATATCATACCTACAGACGAGCAAATGACAAAGAACACACAGCCTTCCTGCTCAGACATAGCCAAATAAAACAAAAAAGCAGAATGAAACAAACAAAATT